CTCCCTCCTAGCACTGATGGTGTTCCCTAGTTGGGTCATGAAACGTCTGCCAGAAAACTACCCAGCTCAGAGAGCACCTAGGACCCTCACAGTCATTGTTGCCCTCCTCCCCCTCTTCCCTCGCACACCTTCCTACCTTCTATCCCTGATGCTGTTCCCTAGTTGGGTCATGAAACGCCTGCCGGAAAACCGCCAACCTTGGCCCCACAGGTCAACCTCGAGCTACCAAGGTTCTCCCCTCTCTTGCTTCGCACCACAGTTTTTAAGCGGGAAGGGTCTTTGCGTGGCCCAGCTTGGGGACGGCCGAGACGTTGCCCCTTGGGAGAACCGGTGCCCGTGAACCCCCGAGAAGAAGGTCTCCGCCCGCCGTCTCCGTCGGAGCCTGTTGCGGTGGGGTGGGGGGTCCCCGAAAGTGAGAAGACTCACCTGGGCTTGGCCAGGGCTCCTTCCTTCCGGGGCGACCGCTCTCCTCCTCCTCCTCCTCCTCCTCCCTCTCTTCCTCGCTCTGCTTTCCAAGTGACTGTGCCCCCCCTTCCCCTCCCCATATTGGAAGTGCGTTTATTTTACCGGAAAGAAGGGCGATCGTGTTAATCCAATCACGGGCAGGCTCTGGAGGACAGGAGTCTCTTCCCATTACTTTAACTAGCCATGTAGAGCAATAAGGATGTCGGGAGTTGTCAGGGATGACGGGCTCGTGACACGCCGCCTCGTCTCCTTTGCTCCGTATGGCTCCCAGCGCCGCTTCCTCCCAGCAAAAGCCCGGCTCCTGTGGCCCTGGGGACACCTGGGGGTGTGAGGTGGCGGGGGGTCGGTGGTCCTAGACATCTCACACCTGCCTGCCTGTTGTCGGCGCGGCTGGTCAGGCGAAAGCGCTGGTGAGTGGCTGCTAGGAGGGAGCGCGAGGTTGTGGCCCTTGGGCCCTGCCTGGTGAATGAGTTGGTTTGGGTGGGCATCCGACGAGATTTCTATCCTGCCTTGATGGCTTTTCTGTTTGGAAAAATTTCACTCCTTTCCCGAGCAGGGAGGGAGGTTGGGGTTGCCTTTGAAAGTCATACCTGATGCCCACCTCAGGCTGCAGGGGGATTGGACCCCCATCAGCCTTGGCGAATTCTGCACGTTTATATCCACCTATCAATATCTATCTGTCTATCATCTTCTGTGTATCTGTTACCTATAGATCTATCCATTCTATCGACTATCCGCTCTATCGCTATCTATTCTATATCTGTCTGTCTGTCTGTCTATTCCATTGATGGCAAACCTCTTTGTTGTTGTGTGCCAAAAACACATGCAGGCCGGCGCCAACAATACAATGCGTCCCACCCTTTGTGCATGCGCACACAATCCCCCCCCCCGCCCCACCCCGTTACCTGCAATGCGCATGCGTGCGCCTCCCAGCTGATTTTCGGCCTGTTTGAGGCCGTTTTCGCCCTCCTGGAGGATCGAGGAAAGCCTCAGGAGGCCAAAAAACAGGCCCGTTTCGGCACTGCCGGTACTTCCGGAAGGCCCATTTTTCGGGCTGCAGAGGCTTCCCTCGATCCTCCGGGAGGGCAAAAATGGCCTCAAACAGGCCGAAAATCAGCTGGGAGGCGCACGCATGCGCATTGCAGGTAGGTTTGGCTGGGGTTCGCATGCCGGCACATAGGGCTCTCTGCTTGCCACCTGTGGCACACGTGCCCTAGGTTTGCCATCACGGATCTATTCTATCTTAATGATTTGTTTAAATAACTCAAGGCAGCCAAATACTCCTTCGTCCCCCTATTTTCCCCACCACAACAACCCTGTGAGGTGGGAGGCCTGAAAGAGAGAGACTGGCCCACCCAGCTGCCTTTCATGGCTAAGGCAGGACTAAAACTTGCCTTATGAGGCTTTTGAGCTACATTTTCGAAGGAACCAAAGATTTTGGAGGGAAGGAAACACTCCGTTGGAATGTCGGAAATAGCGCCGGTGGGGGATACAGGCAGTAAAATGCGCTTAAAGTGGGAAATGCTGATGGAACCTGGATTTATTTCTTTTTCCCACCCTCTCCACTGTTTTCTTTCGGGCTACTTTTAGACAGTTAGTCAGCGGGACGGAAGTTGTGCCTCCAGAAGGTGTGAATGCTCGAGCACTGGAAGTTGTTAAGAAGAGATTGGGCAGCCCCTGGTCTGAATGGTTACGGGAATTGCAGGGGGTTGGACTAGAAGACCTTTGAGGTGCCTCCCAACCCTGTCATTCATTCATTCATTCTTTTGCCACGGCATTCGGCGTTGCTCACGCTACATTTCTGTGTTCCCTCCACACAGACACGCACAGATAGACAGACACCCAGATGTGTCTTCATTTAGTAGGTTGGAGACTCCCAACTCGCCCACTTCCCTGTGTCCCTCCTGCTTGGCCCCCCCCCCCCCCCCCCCCCCCCGGCATTATTAACTATTAACTCCGAGCTCCTCCCAGCAGGTTCCCCCCCCCAATCCCCAATCCCCAACCCCAAGCCCCTCTATTGACAGCGATCCGGAATCTGGAGGAATCCAAGACAAATGACGAAGAGGATGGAGTTAATAAAATTTGAAAAATTGAGAGCCGTCGCTCCGCGTAAACTTTTTTTCAATACCTCTTGACGGAAACATATTTCCCCAATGAGTGACCTTCGGCAGCTGCTGGGGCTCCGCTTTGCTGCACCCGGTGCTGGGGGTGAGCCAGCCTGCTATTTATCAAATATTATAAGCCAGGGCCCGCTTGTACCCGCCAAGGTTTGGATGCCCCCGCAGAGCCCCCGGGCGTTGCCTAGGTGTCGATTCCCGGGCCCCCCCCCCCGACAGCTGGCGGGGGGGGGTGAAAAATGACACCCGGGTTCTCGTCCCCAAAGGTTGGAGCCCCCCCAGCAGGCGTTTGGGCCTGGCTAAGTCCAGCAGGGGCACTTGCTGCTTGGAGGAGGGGGGGTGGGAGTATGCGAGGGCGGTAGCTGCTACAGGAGGGGGGCCGGGGTCAGGCCACGCCTCTCAGGACAGCCAGCAGCGCCCCCCACCCCCCTCTCCCCGCACCCGGCTAGCAAGTGTCCTGCCACCAAGTTATTTATGAAAGCATAATATTTTATTGCCGTGGGTATCGGAGGTAAGCGATCGACCGGCAGAGTCCGGTGGGTCTATCAATTATTGCAGCAATTAGTCAAGTCGTCAAAGCCATTAACAGGGGAATTAGACCAATATTGGTGGGCCGTTATTAATAGATTGACGGCAGGAAGTCCCGGTGTCCGTCCGTGTCCGCCCCCCCCCAAAGACGAGGCAAAGGTAGCCTCCACACCCCCACACCCACTCACCCCAAAAAAACTTTTCCCTTCTTCCTTGGAGACCCCAGCCCTGGTCTGGTCACACAAGAGCTGCGTTATGCTCCCCCGTCTGTCTCCCGAAAAGGTTATTGAACGGCCTGTCCTGGCGGGCCATAGGTAATGTCACCTGTTCCGACGGTCTTTATGGGAGGCAACCCACTGGCCCAAATTACTCCCGGTCGGAAGTTTACGGAGCGCATCTTCCGTTCCGTAAGCCAATAGAGGCAGGAGGGTCTTGGGAAAGGGCTGGAGTTGGTCTCTCGGCCCGTCTTCTTCCTTGTCGTCTCACTGGCTCACGCTGGGCTTCAGCTGGCAGAGACTCCTTTCGGGGAAGCGGGTGTGAGGCGCGCCCACCTCACCTTTGCGCAAAAACGTGGCACCCCCGTGGTACCTGTTGCTTGTCTCTGCACCCTTCCGGATTGTGACGGAGCACAGCTGCCTTTTTTTCTTTCTTCCTGGAGGAAAAAGGGCCTTAACAGAATAACAGAGTCGGAAGGGTCCTGGGAGGTCTGCTAGTCCAGCCCCCTGTCCAAACAAGGGTCCCCAAACTCGGCCACTTTAAGACTGGTAGACTTCCACTCCCAGGATTCTGGGAGTTGAAGTCCACCCGCCTTAAAGTGGCCAACTTTGGGGACCCCCTGCCCTATACCATTCCAGACAAATAGCTGTCCAGTCTTCTTGAAAACCTCCACAGCTTCTGGAGGCCAGTCGTTCTCAATTCTTCCTCCTTCCTTCCCTCCTCCTTCTCCCTGCAAACCCCACTCTCTTCTAGCACTGATGATGTTCCCTAGTTGGGTCATGAAACGTTTGCAAAAAAGAAAGAAAGAAACCCAAGCAAGCTCAGAGACCACCAAGAACCCTGCTGCAATTCCAGCCTGAGCTACAGATATTCTGCTCCGTTCGGCTTTTGGTGCCGTCTCCTCTGGCCTTCACGTGGGGAGCGTGTTCCTAGGTTTTCCTTCCCTCTTTCAAGCCTTGCTCATCCCAGAGGTGAAGGTGGGGGCCAGAGCGCCCCCCTGCACAAGAGGCCATAAGCAGAGCGTCCCCTTCCCCACGTCTTGAGTTGTGTTTCTTCCTTTTCAGGTGCCAACCCCCTGCAGAGGAATGAAATGGGGCACACCCCCTTGGATTACGCCCGCGAGGGAGAAGTTATGAAACTCCTGAAAAGTTCAGCCACAAAGGTGAGGATTGGCGAATTCACTTTCTGTGGGACTCTCTCTCTTTCTAGCTCGGAAACAAACCCAAGTACAATGTTTCCCTTAATTATCTGATTGGAAAGTCGAGAGGGGGGCTTCCCAAGGATTTGGGCAACCCCAAATTACTTTATATCAATACCCTAGGTTGCCAAGTTTGGGGACCCCCTGCCCTAGAAATTAGACAACCAGTTCATAATGGGTCTTGGAAGAAACGAAAGCGGGGTTCCCCTGTACAAGGGAATGGAAAACACGCAGGTTTAATTGGGGTGCCAGGAGTCCTGATCAAAACAGAGGTTAAAACTTCTAGGAAGAGCAAGTGTGACTTTTTTAAGCTGGCCAGGGAGGGGACAGAGCCGAGGTTTGCTCTTGATGAGCGCACCAAGAAAGGCAGCTTCTTAATATGCCCCTTAATCTAAAGAAAACCTGCCATAAGAGCGGATCAAATGAAAGACGCTGTGCAAAGGATCAGACAGAAAGGTAGCTGCTGAATGCAGTGAGAGAGAAAGAGAGAGAAAGATTGATTGTGGTATTTATGCGCTTACATTACCTTCATGTAAAGTCAATAAGAATGACCACTTAAAAAACATCTTCGCTGCCGTACCTCCCTGTGATGAAAAGGGAGCCTGTGGGATGCAGTGCTCAGAAATAACTCACTATTGAGCAGAGAGTTGGTTAAAAAGCGTCCCATTGTTTGTTGAGTGAAGGGATAAATTTATAACGAAGGCTTGCGGTGACAGGAAAGGCCGGTTGTTCCAAGACATAAACGGACGTGTGTTTTATTTATTTTTATTGATTGCATTTATATGACCGACTATCGCAGAAAAGCGACTGTTTCTGTATGTAAAAGGATCCCATGTTCCAACAGAGGCTTCGAGAATAAAATAGAATAGGAGAGAATTCTTTTATCGGCCAGGTGTGATTGGACACACAAGGAATCTGTCTTTGGTGCAAAGGCTCTCAGGGTGCATAAAAGAAAAGAGACATTTGTCAAGAATCATCAGGCGCAACACTTAGTGATAGCCAGTAGAACAGAAGAGAATTGGAGAGAATAGAACAGAGCAGAACAGAATAGAACAGGAGAGAATAGAATAGAATAGAATAGAATAGAATAGAATAGAACAGAACAGAACAGAACAGAACAGAACAGAACAGAACAGAACAGAACAGAATAGAATAGAATAGAATAGAATAGAATAGAATAGAATAGAATAGAAATATGGAAGAATAGAATAGAATAGGAATAGAATATAATTCTTTATTGGCCAAGTGTGATGGACAAACAAGGAATTTGTCTTGGTGCAAATGATCTCAGTGTCCATAAAAGAAAAGAGACATCTATCAAGAGTCAAGAATCATCAGGTGCAACACTTAATAATAGTCATAGAGTGCAGTAAGAATAGAATAGAGTAGAATAGAATAGGAGAGAAGAGAAGAGAAGAGAAGAGAACAGAAAAGAACAGAATAGAACAGAACAGAACAGAATAGAATAGAATAGAATAGAATAAAAATATGGAAGAATAGAATAGAACAGAATAGAAACAGAATTCTTTATTGGCCAAGTGTGATGGACACACAAGGAATTTGTCTTTGGTGCAAAGGCTCTCAGTGTCCATAAAAGAAAAGAGACATTCGTCAAGAATCATCAGGCACAACACTTAATAATAGTCAGAGTACAATAAGCAATCAAAATATACTAGGAAACAATCAATATAAATCATAAGGATACAAGCCACAAAGTTACAGTCATACAGTCACAAGTGGGAGGGGGTGGGTGGATAAGGAGTGATGAGAAGATTAATAGCGATCGTAATGCAGACTTTGTAAATAAATGGACAGTGTTGAGGGAATGAGTTGTTTAGCAGAGGGATGGTATGGGGGGAAAAACTCCCCTTGTGTCTAGTTGTTCTGGTGTGCAGTGTTCTATAGCGTCGTTTTGTGGATAGGAGTTGAAACAGTTTATGTCTGGGATGTGAGGGGTCCGTAGATATTTCCACAGGCCTCTTTTTGATTAGTGCAAGTATCCAGGTCCCTCCATGGAAGGCAGGTTGGTAGCCATTTTTGTTTTTCTGGAGACCTCACTTAAAAATATATATATTAGTAAGGTGGAGCAAATCCAGAGATGGTCAGCGAAGATGGCGCAGTTTGAGGGGGCAAAACATATCAGGAGAGAGATGGGAATGGCTGAATAACGCACAGCCTGGAAGACAGAAGAGAAAACGGAGAATCTGAGCGAAACCTTTTAATGGCTCTGACCTGACGTAATCTCCTTATCACAAGACCCATCGCAAGACTCACAGCTGACCCTTCAGAAGACACCCCCACGCCTGAAGGCCTTATAAGCAGAAGGATACCCCCTAAACTCCACTTGAAGATGTTACCGAGCCTGCTAATGAAACCTTTGAAAACCGACCCACAAGCTCAGAGAATCAGCCTCTCTGCCTTTGTGAAAGCTTTTAAACAGAGGTCTCCAAACTTGGCAACTTTAAGACTGGAGTGGAAGTCCACAAAGTGTTAAAAGTTGCCAAGTTTGAGGACCCCTGCCTTTAAATACATCAACGTTCAGAATATTGCAGAATAAATTCAGCGCCAGGAAAGTAAACACAGACGGCTGAGGCTTCGTTTAACTTCTTTAGAAACATAAAGTAAATTTTACAGTACCAGTTGTAGATTTCTCCAACATGCAGCAAACTCAAACAGAAACAGACCTCGGTTTCACTTTAGTTCAGCAGGCAAGCAAGACACACAGCGGAGAAGAGAAGCCGTTTCACCTTCAACAGACAGACTCAGAGCTTAATATAGAGCCACGCCTAGGCTACTTCTAGTTTCAGTTTCCAAACAGTCCTCATTGGCTGACTTAATTGCTATGCCTATTCACTGACCGACCTTGTTACCGTGCCCTGTTCCAGTTCATGAATAGACTCTGACAATCAAGGGTATGTGTAGGCTCCTAAAAGGCAGCATTTTCAATATGAAGCATAAATCAAGGATGCAGGTGGGCCTCACCTCCAACTCACAGAAAGGAAGTTCAAAAGCTACATTACAAAGGATGAGCCCCAACTCAGGAAAGAGTCGTGGAAGCTTGGACCCAACTTCCAGCAGAGGCAGTGGGTCAGCCATCATCAGTAACCGAGTTTAAAAATGCTTGGGATGTTTAAAGAGCCGCCCTTTGACCAAAAATTTTAAAAAAAATAATTTTAAAAATAATAAATTAAAAAGAAAAAACAAAGAGCAGACTTGATTGGACCGCAAGCTCTTTTTTCTGCCGCCAGTGTTCCGTGTTTCTGTATTTCTAAAATGATGTCTTACTAGCTGGATCCCCGTGCTTCGCTACGAAACTATGCGGTCGGGCTCAGTTTTTGGAGGAGGAAAATAAGAGGGGAAATTCTGCCTCTGCCACCAGCATCCATCGGTATTCCTCTGGCTAGCGTCCTGTCAGCGTGGGAGAGAGTGGAGGGCTGTTTGGAAACGGAAAGAGTATTTGCTGGGTGAGCATGAAGGAGACAGCAAGGAGCCTGGGCGTGGCTTAGCTCAACCGTTCTGGACTAAAGCTGCTTGGTGCTCTGAAAGTGAAACTCCTCTGCTTGTGTTTTGCATTTGGAAGAGATTTCTTTCCAGGCTGGGAGGGGGAGTAGAACTTCTTAGCATCAGAGCGTGTTAATAATAATAATAATAGTAATAATAATAATAATAAGAAGAAGAAGAAGAAGAAGAAGAAGAAGAAGAAGAAGAAGTAACAGTAGCGATAACAATAACAATAATATAGGAAATACTCAAAATGCTCTAATAGACATTTCGAAAAATCCTTTCTTAGTGAGCATCTAGAAGCCGAGAGGAACCTACGGGCCAATTTTCAAGATTGTAGGCTTTACAGTTCTGGAGATTTTGTGATGATGCACGAGGGGCCTTTCGCTTTTATAGAGAGAGATTTTGGAATCTTTGGCATCATCCCTGTATGCTCGTGATCTTAATTGCTTTCCTAGACAACGTACAACGGAGCTATCAACCCAAGGGCGGCGTTGACTGCAAAACGCAGAGGCCATCGGTTTTGGGGGGAAAGTCATCATTTTAATTGTGTGAAGGAAACGTCGGGAGTTGGCCTCCTTCTGTCTCCGCGAGGAGGAGAAGGAAGAAGGAAAGCCACGTCTTGTTAAGTTCGTGGCGTCCCCAGGGTTTTCTCCCTGAAGTCAAAAGCTCTTCGTTACTTAAAAGATGGTTAGAAGAGAGTCTCCGTGTCCTCCCGTACAGACCCTCCAACTTTGGAGAGAGAAAGAGAGAGAGAGGGAGAGTGGCTGTGATTTGTGGGTAGACGGGAACCGCTGAAGGAAATGCGAATTGGGCGCCGCATGAAATCTTCCGACTCTTCCCGGCTTCTTTGGTGATGGATTCCCCGCTGTGGGGGAATGCCGTGGTAGATGGAGATGCGGGCCTGGCCCAGGAGAGCGTCCTCCGGCCTCTTCCCAACTTTGGAGGATTTCTGGGCCGCTATCATATCCCGCTGGAGGACGGAGGCCCTGGCGCCACTGCTCAGAGAATGCAACAGGAGGTTTCCCCCCGAGGGCTTTCGCTTGTTTTGGGGGAGGGCTCCTTTCCTACTTGTAACTCACGTTGTTAAGCGAATCACCGCAGTTGTTAACTCAGTCGGACGGCTGGCCTTGTTTGTCAGAAGGTTGCAGGAAGGGATCGTGTGACACACACACACCCCCAGGACACTGCGACTGTCATAAATATGAATCAGTTGTTAAGCACCTGGATTTTGATTCACACGACGGTGGAGAATGCCACAAGTGTGAAGAGCAGCCATAAGGACTTTTCTCCACTGCCGTTGTAAATTTGAACGGACACTAAGTGAGCTGTTGAAAGTCGAGGGCTGCCTGTGCTCTGCATTGCTTTATGCACCCTAACTCCCAAAGGTGTAACCAAGCATTCATAACCTGGTTCCAGGCCTGTTCGTCTGTTTGTGTCCTGCCCCTGTTGGCATCTGACTCCGAGGGAGAGGAGGAGGAACAGCCGACAGGGGGTGGGAGTGTGGCTCCGGAGGTGGTGGAGGAGGCTGGGGAAGGGCAGAGGTCGGCTGGGCAGTCAGAGGAGGACCCAGGCCCATCCCCTCTCCATCCTAGGGCACGCAGGGAGGAGCGGATAATGGAGCAACGTGAATGGCGTGGTCTACGGGGAAGGAAGGGGCCCTGATCCCCTTCATGGGCCGCAGCTGGGAGGACTGTTTAAAAGGACAAACTGCGCATGGCCCAGTGCTGGAAGCAAAGCGTGAAATAATTCTAGTCTTTCAGTTCTTATTTGGGTTCTGACGTCCTTCCCAGTGTGTGTATTTTGATATCTGCGGACGCCTTCAAGCCCTGACCCTGCCTGGTCTCCTAAATTGCTTCCGTGTGGTTTGTGTTGTTTTTTCTACTTATATGTATTTTGAGTTTGAATGGGATTTCTTCCTTTTTTGCAACTGTTTGCGGGGGAGTTTTGGAATGTGAGAGAAAGAAGAGGAAAGGTTGATTTGAAACGTTGACAGTTCTTTTAAAGCTGATGGAAATGCGAGCCACCTGTCAATCATCTGGGATTGACAGAACCCGCCTGTCAATCATCTGGGATTGACAGAACCCGCCTGTCAATCATCGGGGATCATATATCCGGCCCTCCAAATGCGTTACGTTCTTTTTTTGCAAACATAAAAAAAGCAAAGGAGAAAAGAATTGGCCTATATATTCAGAAAGACATAGATGTATGTCTATGGGGGGGGGGGGGGGGGGAGGATGAGGACTTGGAGGCGGGTGATATATGCCGAGCCTGAGGGGGGGCTGCGACAGGCTCGGTGCTTCCGGATTCAGCCCAGCACGGAGAGGTTCCTCTGGGATCAGTCCAGAAGTTATTGCTCCATATTGAAACATCAGGGAGGATGGGGGGGGGGGATCTTGCATCTCGACGGATGGCAGCGGCCCAAATTGGCTTGGTGGCTTAAAAAAAAAACTTCCGTCACCGTCGTTCGCATAAACAGGGAAAACTTCCCTGCCCGGCGGGTGGATTTTGCAGCCCGTCGTGAGAATGAAGAAGCATTTCAGGTGCTTCCATCATGGTGAAAATGGAGATTGCTGATTAAATCGGCGGGGAGGTACCCATGTAGATCGGGGTTGAATTTCCTCCCTTCCGGCACTGATGAGGTTCCCTAGCTGGGTCATGAAACGTCTGCCGGAAAA